TAGATTTGTGTTTGTATTGTTATTAGACATCATGTAAATGGAGAGTGTGCATTTGAGCTGTTCTGCATTTTTTCCCAAGTACAACTGCAGTGATGAACCTTCATCTGTTTTCCAATCACTTGTTCACAGGTGTTGAGGTTAGGGAATGGGTAACGAGCAGTGGAGAAGGCTCTGGGAGCAAAGTTACTTCCGTGGTTTCCAGATAAAGAGGTTTAGAAGGGCAGATGAGTCCAGTGAGTACAGCTAGAAGCTCTCAGTCTGTTTGCCTAGGCTGATGCTAAAATGAGGGGTGGTTTACCTGAGCCTTAAGTAATGAAAAATACCTGCTGTGGGTGAAGCAAAGATGAGTAATGGTCTTTAGATTAAATCTCGGGACACCAATTCCTAGATGACTCACACCTAACGTTAGTTGTGCACAGTCAGTGGCCACCTTCAGTAGTGACTCCTGCACTGGAGCTGCAGCCTTGCCCTTTCAGCCCCATGTGCTGCTCCCATCTCTGTGTGTTCACAGGTAGATGTTCCTGTCCTGCATTTTCCCTCTGAGTAAGCACTCGCGTTGGAGATGCTTTTCGCACAGGAAAGACGTGCTGGGATGTCCCATGTTCACAGAACTGGGGAGGGCAACATAAATGTTCTTCCCTCTGCTACAAATTGTGGGGTGGGAGGGATTGCTTCCCTGTCTGAGCTCCATGATCTGCATCCTGCTTTTCTGGTTTAGGACCTGCAGGATACACAAAGTGCTAACAACTTGATTTACTGTTCCCATGCACCCAGATACAGTTATTCACCCAGCACAAAGTGGGTATAACACCTTGTGAAGTTGGGCATTTCACTGTGGACCACATGCAAAGCCATGGAAAATGTTTGTTTGCATGACAAAGCCTTGGAGGATCAAGCTTCAGATGAGGAATGGATGCTAAACAGAAATCAGAGTGATGCCTGCCTGTTTTATGCAAACAAAACCTCTTCTGTCCTAAGGTGATATTGCTTCACCATAGCATGAATTTTAGGCATAATTGGGATTTAAGTAATTTTTACACTAGCAGAACATCAGCAGCAGCCTTTATACACTAGACAAAATGTCAGAAGATTTTCAGATGGGCAAAGTTTGGAATGGCTGGTTTAGAAAAGCTTTTATTAACTTGAAATTTAAAAGATAGTAAATTCTCAGTTGGTAGAATCTTTTCTCATTGTGTAAAGTCAGCTAAACCTGTTGAAAATAATTTAGACTTTTTTTTCTTGACATGATAGATGATACATATATTAGGTAATTGAAATCATGCACGCTCCAGGGAGATAAAACCTCGCCTTTCCCATTTGCAGTGAGGCAGGATTGAACCTGTCTAAAACTATTTAATGTAGAGGGAGAATAAAGCAGGAAATGAATTATGGTTTTATTTGAGTTGAAGGATTAGTTGAGGGATAATAGTGAACAACGAAACAACTTGGGCACAAGGCTGCTGTCTCTTAAACAGTTTTATTAGCTTATGCTGATTTGCGAATTAGGAAAACCAAATTATGTCATGCAAGAGAGCAAGGGATGACAATTAAAAACCTGCAGGAAAGGACTAGTAAAACGGTAATCTCTCACTGCCTGATCTTCAAAGCAAAATGGGAGAGCATGACCTTTTCTTGGAATAAATACAGGATATTGCACGTAGCCAACTTCTGGTTTTCAAGTTTTGCCAATTTGCAGTTGCTCTCTTGTACTACAGTCCTTATTTGTTGATTGCCCTGGGGTCCAATTTTAGTCTCAAAATACTCCCGAGAAGTACTTCCATGTTCTTTGATTTGAGATCTGTTCATGTCTCAATTACCCTTCTAATCTGTCAGCACAGTGTCCTTTTTAGCTCTCAAAGACAGGGCTATGCTGTGATATTTGAGTAACCGTAATGCTGTGGGACCATGAGAAACAGCTTCCTTGGTAACGCTTCCCATTTATAGCGGAGATGTGATCGGTAACCGTGTACGTGTTAATGATTTGTTATCATGTTGAAGCTTCAGTCACAAAGTCTGGTTAAGACCTAATTGTACTGCAAACCAGCTTCTCTGCTGGTCCATCCAAGTTATGGCTGTTTTACATGTTCCAGGAAGAGCATGTCATCAGAGCCCATCAGATCTGCATAGTGAAAAGATTGTCCCAATTAGGGACTGAGTGCTCTGCTCTTCAGGTGAGGGTTGTGCTTCAAGAAGCAGCATCTCCATGCAGCCTGAATTTTGTGCTATGCTATCTTTAAATCTTAAGTATAAAAGTGCTTGGGAACATTTGCAGGCAGACATGACTTGGCTCTCACAGAGTGAAGTGCCTATGGGAAAGGTCAACTGAGCAAGTTGTAGCAAATTAGCTTGTGAATTTATAGTGCATAATCTGCTCCACAATAACTGGCTGTGTGCATGGTACAAAGGCACCCTGTGGTAAACACTAGGTCTCTTGCCCCTGTTTTTGCCTGGGGTGTAAACAACCTTGCTTTATGTCATCTTTCCTGTGAAACGTGAGTGTGGGGAGAAGGTATCTGCCCCAGAGTACCACCACGGCCCTGTGCTGCTTGTGGCCTGTTCCTGTGTCCCTGCGCTGGGGTCTGCAAGCCACGTTCCAGGCTGACAGCAAGGTCCCTGCACAGCTAGCAAGCAGCCTCGCTGCTGACTCAGTGATCAAAGCCCTGGTTTGGGCAGTGGGAGCCTTGCTAGCTTGAACAGAATCAAAATCCTAACCTACTTGTGGAAGTTAGTGGAAGGACTTAGTCACTGAGTGTGGTGGGTGTCAGCCCAGGGTTACACACAGCTGACTCGCCAGGGAGACTCACAGGAGTCTATCCAAGCAGGAGTTTGCAAGGAGTAATAGTCCCTGCTCTTACTAGAAATAATTGGAAGCCATCTATTTTTGTTGGAAAAGTTAAATATTTTCTCACAGTCATTTGAAGGTTCCCCTGAATGCTGATTGACAAGAGATAAGGATTAAAAACTGCAATTTTGAGGGTTGCCAAATTATTGGGGGAAAAAACCCATAAATAATTTGCAAATTCTACAATCTTTAATTTTAACACTTACAAACAAAATGGTTTAAGTATTTCGAGCTGAGATGGAGGTTTTTTAATTGTGAGATTCTCGTAATTTAAAGAAAAAAAAATAAATGGCTTGAAAATAAATTGGTTTGGTTTTAAGCAAATTTCAAGTTTTTTATTTTTTTTAATAAAAAACTTGAAATTTTCTCTCTCTTTGGCCTGCTTTCTAAAGTTAAAAATCTTATGAGACCATGTCTGATGGTGTGTTTCTCTGTCAGATAAACAGCGGAGTCCCACTTCAGTAGAGCAGAGAAGTTGTTGACCAAAGTCTTGGAAGTATAGCCAGGGCCTGGGTATCTGAAGGCTCTTGAGGTAGCGGTGCCTCTGTCACACAGGAGTTTTAGCTTCTGAGAAACTCCTGTGTCTTAAACTGGGAAGATTTTTGTAACAGGTATCTTGCATTGCTACAGTCCATCAGGGAGAGGTCAAAGACACCTGTACCTTGAGACTAGTGGTCACTGTCATCATCACTGCCAGGTGCCTGCTCAAGTCCCAGCCAGCTGGATGCTGTTTACAGATGCTGCTCCATGAGGGCGTATCCTTAGCCAGTAAATCCAGGAGTAGTCCTACACCAAAACTGGGTCAGCTGGGCAGATACTGCTTTGGGCTTTGGAAGATTTTGTTCTTGTTTCTTTGTATGTTCAACTAAAACAGTCATAGGTGTAAACTTCTCTTGAATAGCAACTTTTTAATCATTGCATTGTCTTACTTCTGCTCTTCACCCATGTACTGCACTTGTCCATCTGTCTGACTTGTTTCCTGCCTTCATGTAGTGTGAGATTCATCTGCATTCATATGTAGCCATCTAATCTGAGCTCAGTGTCTAGACTCACTTTATGGAGAGAGCCAGACCTTTCTAGAGAGTGAATCATGCTGCCCTAAACCAGATGCTTGATAGGTCAAATGAATAATTTTCTGGATTGCCTCGTTTCCTCCAACAAGTGAAGAAAATTTGCACTGTCTAAGGTATAGAGTTTGGTCCTGCACTTGTTTTTGATTTGAGGACATGGATTCTACCATGAGGGATAAACCATATCATTCTACCATAATGGGATCCATGTGCACAAATCCTGAAGTGATGTGTGAAATGTTTAAGGAGGTAGGAAATGTTGGTGGCACATAGTAAAATTAAGAATTTGGGAAGCACAAGGAGATCATGGGAACCTGGCTCAAGGAAAAAATGTTCAATTTGGGTCTGTGGAAATATACACTTCATTTTAAGTATTCTGTGTGGGGTTCACATAAAAATGAAACCCAGCAGTTTCCTCAGACCCCAGTAAAAACGTTGAGGATAGTCTGATACCTTGTGTAGTAGATAAAAAAAATAAATTAAGAGTTGGTCTGCACTTAAATTTTATCCAAAAAATCATTGAAAGAGCCACACAATGTTAAAAATCGTGAATATGAAAAATACTTTCTACTGAGGAACAGAGAGGACGTGTGTGTATGTGTGTATTTTTGGATTCAGTACTCCTCTGTTATAATATTGCAGATAGCCATGAAAATAGATAGGTGTTTGAATTTCCTTGGAGGAGTTCATTGAGAACAAAAATCTTCCTGTGTGGATCTCTCTGCACATTATGGACTTTGTTTGCAGATGCTTTTCTAAAGAGCAACTCCAAATAGTTTTTTCTTTCTTGTGTTACAACAACAGAAATATCCAAGAATTATTTTAATTATGTGTCTGCTTCAGCAATTCTGAACTGGGTTTTAATATTCTGTGATAATATGTTCAGGGCAAATGACTCTTCCTATCCTAGATCAGTGTTTGCCATACACTCACTTTGTTCTAGAATCTCCATCTTGGAAGCTCATTAAAAATGCATTTGCTTCAAGGAGATGTAGGAGTCAATTGTTCATTTGTTAAACAAGTCTGTGGATTTTCCTCTTTTTGTTCCTTGCTTTCCTTTCTTACTTGGTTTTGCTTTTGTTTTACAGCTCTACCTTACTTTATTTGAAAGAGGAAAGCCAGTGAGGACCTGTGAACAATCCAACAGCTTCTGAAAAATCTTCATGCTAAAGGATAATCCAGAATTCCCTGAAGAAGAGCAAAGTGAATGTTGTGAGTTCCTAGCAGTGATAACAAACACTTCTAATTGTGTCTTTTGGGAGGTAGTATCTGCCCTGTAGTGTTTGTTCTCCTCCCTGTGATGCACTGAGCACCAAAAACTTGAATTTCTCTCCGTCGTAATTTTTTTATTCTTTTAATGGGTTTAAGGGAATACTAATATTATCTGAGGAAAGATGGAGGGTTTCTTTTCCTTGGACTGCTACAGTTATTTGTCATACTGCTATTGCTTTTTAGTTAAATATGCGAGCCTGCATTGGAAGGCCATGTGACTGTGTAGCCTAACAAGAATGAAAAATACTATGGATAACAGTCCATGAATCTACAGGTTGGATTCAGGAGTTTTATGCATGCTTGCACAATGGTTGAAGTTATTTGACCACCTTCAAATTAGAGGAATGCAAATATAGTTATTTCTGTAGTTATTTCTGGTATTCGAATCTCCTGATGGTCAGTTTTTCATATTAGTTTATTTCCAGTACAAATGTTCCTCTCAGAGGTTTGTGTTCATGGCAACTGGAGTAGCACACCTTTCCAAGGGAAATGCAGCCATTCAACTGAGACCTTGATTAAACTGTGGTATTAATAAAAAAAAAAATGTTCCCATGAGAGATGGCTAAAGAGAAAGCATGAATATTTTTATGTTCATTGTTTTTTCTTATGCAGCCCACTGCTTTTCTGGGTTGAAATGGGCAAACATGCAGATCAAATGTAAACATTCTCACAAAAAGAGGAAAACAAGAGTTCTCTACCTGCCAGGTTTTAGAATAATCCTTATTTTTTTCTTAAGAAAGAACCATGGGGATTTCCAAATTAGGCAAGTTAGTATTTAATTCTTATGCCCAGAGTATGCAGTGGTCCTTCAAGATGTTAGTAGTGATAAAACAAGCTGCGGATTCTTCCAGTTGGAGCAAATTAGTTTGTACACTTTCCATTAATGTAGTAAAAATAAATATATTTTCTGGCCTGCCTTCTAGCTCCCTCAGAGTTGGATGCCCTCCTTTGCTCTGCTTTTCCCTTTGGGTTCTGGCTTTGGGAAGCAGATTGAGACAGAGTAAAAGCGGTGCTGCTTTCCCAAGAACCAGTTGCAAAATAAATATTAGAGAAGACACTGAAATTTTTTGTCATCTGTTGCCATTCCCACCTGCTTTGATCTACAGTGAAATAGTTAACAAAGCAAACATCTGGAATTTTTACTTACTAGTTCCCACTAAGCTACCAAGTTAGTAGCTCATTAAGATGACTAATGGGCCTCTGAGATGGGGAGCCTCTCACTGTCCCATGTACCCAAGCAGGCATATTCCCACACTTCAAAAGGCTTCTTTATAACCACAAGAACTTACTTTGCATGCTGGCATCCTAGAACAGGAAAGGACAGCCTTAAATAATAATAATAATAATAATAATAATAATAATAATAATAATAATAATAGTAACAACCATCATAGCATGCAGAGCTGTTGGGATAACAGGAGATGTTTGTTTAAGATGTTGCAATCACCTCTACTGATTGCAACAGAACAGCAGCACCACCTCACATGAAGGAGAGCATCCCCTGGGTCCTGTAAGGTATGTGGTGTGCCAGATCAGCCAGGTAAACTGAAGGAGGCAATCATCAGCCACTGCAGGGGATGGAACATCTGTTGAAGATGCCATCAGTGTGATCATTACATTCTGCCCTGTCCTAAATGGTTTAAAATCAGCTCTCTTAAAGCACACTGTGATGTTCTGCTATTGTTGGTGCCAAAACCCTGATTATACTCAGGAGGCCTGGGTTAGTGCAGAAAAAGCAGCACTCTTCTCACCAGGTATGGATGGGAAAAAGTGTTCTTGAGAATTGCTCTTACCCTGGCATCCAGGACTGGTTCCTTTTGAGGAATCATTTGTAGGTCATGGAGAGATTTTTAGCAGTTCCTTGAGAGCATATTTCGTTACCTGGCTTCTGCTTGGAGGACACTGCTGCAAGAAGGAGGCAGTCAGCTAGGCTCCTCCTCTCCTCTTTCCTTTTACCTCTTAGGGAGGCAAGAATACCAGAGGTGAGGAGGTACAGTGTTTCTCCTGAAAGGAAATACTGGCATACAGTGAATTTACTTAAAAATATTCCTCTCTATTCCCTGTTTGCAGGGTGTTGTCATGTTACGATGTGGGGAAAATGATCAAACCTTTCCCACTGCAAGTAGTAGCTGTTCTCTTCCCTTCTGCTGTCTCCTTTTGCCACCCAGGCAAATTTCAGAGGAAGGGGGGTGTGAGGAGGGAGGAGTGCAGTAAATTGAGACCAGTGTCTTGTATCCACCTAGAAACTGCCTGTTTACTAAACAGTACAAATTTCTCGCTTCCTTTTTCCTGCTCTCTTCATTTGGATGAAATGCATTTCTGGAATAGCAGTGCTTGTACAAATCAAGTCCATATTCCAGTTCTGGGGAGAGAAAAAGGGATGTCAGGAGGGTCCGTTAAGGAGGAACTTTTATTTTAGTAAGGGTGAAAATGAGGCAAGACAAGGCTCCTTTGCTCTTGCTGGAGGGTACCTTCTGTATTCCAGCATACGGTTTTGTAATTTTCTGGTAGGATGTAGGTATCCTGAGGTTTTTTTTTTCCATCCTGAAAACATATGCCACAGCTTTTTTGGAGTGCTAGCCACACAAACACATTCTAACAGGAGCAATGAATAAACTCTTCATGTTCTTCACTCGCAGGCATTTCTTCACATTATTTTTTTTTCTGTGCTTATGCGAAAACCTCTGGCACGGTTTGTGGGAAATGGAAAATAAATCTCTAAATCCAGTATGTGTCAATAACAGAAACGTGTTTAGTTGATCTATAACTGTTATTTTGGGCAAACTGCAGATGGTAGGATAGTAAACATCCCCACTTCTAGCCCAGACAGGCTTTCTATGCCCTGCCTTCAGTGGGGAACCTGCTGCTTCTGAAGAAGGTCCTGGGGGGACCATGGTTACGCATGGCTTAGCCCCAGTTCCATCCCATTTTTGAGCTGCTGCCTTCTCTTTCTGTTCCTTGGCCCTCCTTGCTTCCTTTACCCTGGGTCCTATCTCCCATGTACTCCCCCCCTGGCTGCCGGCTGTTTTTCCTGGCACGTGGAGCTGCGACGGGTCTGGGAGCGACAGCTCCTGGAGCTGATGTCAGTGCTGCTTCCTGAGCTGCCTGGCCAGGCTGGCTGCAGCCCAGGCACACCCTCTCCCCAGAGCATCACCTTCTCCGCCTGCCCGTCCTGCTGCTGCAGCAGCCCCTCGGGGAGGAGGCTTGTGCAAGTGATGGAAATTGAAGGTTAGCGAGCCTTTTGTGGCGGTTTTCTGTGAGCAGCCATCTCCCACGCCTGGAGCCTCAACACCGGGTTTGTGGCATGGTTGGAAGTGATGCCTGGTTTCTGTTCTGAGCTGTGCACACCTTGGAAGAGCTACGGGAAGCTTTGACACATGCAGGCTTAATGATTCTGGATGTCTCTGCTTTTGTGTCACTTTGGTATCCATGTGCTAAATCACCCCATGGTTTTCTATGGAAATTACCAGGCTGCTGAGAAAAGAGCAGAGCTGCATGTGTCCGTTCTTCCAAACAACAGCCCAGTACATGCCACTCGGTATTTATAGTGAGAGGGAAAAAGGGAAGAATCGCTTTAATTTGAGAAATGTCTCTCAGAAACAGCAGTAATTTATTCCTAGGCATTATTCTTCATTAAGAGCTACAGACAGCTGCAGCTTCCCTTTAAATAGAAATTGCTCTCTGCAGGCATGCTATACATAGGGCTTCAGGTTTCTGCCATTTCTCTGCCAAAAAAATCAGAAGTATTTCTCACCAAATAAATGTTTATTCAGAAAGTCATATTTCCTGGCTTTTATTTCACGTCACAGGCTTCCGGCAGTCAGGCGAGAACAGCTCAAGGCTGTCGTTTGGGAGAGGAAGCTGAAACAGTTTGAGTCTCTTGTGGGGCTTCAAAAAAAAGTCTCTGACCATAACTCTGGGCCTTCAGTTTGGCAGTTTACTTTAGCTGTTGAACATTGGATTAAAATGGATGCTGCAGAAATCCTGCAGGGCAAGCGTGCCCGTGCAGATGCAAAGTGAGTGGTGGTGGTGGGCATTTCTCTGCATCAGGTCAGCTCACCCCCTCTCTCGGCCTTGAAGCTACAGCCATCCTCAGACTGCATGGGTGGCAAACTGGCTTTGGCAGCTGGCAGAAGCTGAGCTGTTTTGTTGTTGGGGAATCCCCTGTATGATCAGTGTATGGACACACAGGGGCAGCAGGCAAGAGCTGGGCCGTGCCTGCTTGCACCTGCCACCCAGCAGAGAGGCTTCAAGTCCTGCAGAAGGACATGCAAGCGATGAAGCTGTAAGCCACCAGTGCTCCAGAGGACCAAATACCTTTTTTTATTCACATCTGTGCTGCATCCTTGGATTCACCTTTCTCTTCTCCACATTCCTGCTGGCTGGCTCTTCAACTAATGATTTCCTAAGCTGCCTTTTTCTCTCTGTCTTTTCTAGCCTGAACTGCTGAGCTTCCTCTTATGTCTCCAGGGCTTATCTGCTGGACCCATACTTTCCATTGAGTGTGCCAGCCCCTACCACTCCAGTAGATGACTTAGCTGTTGTACCAGCAACCCAGCTGGTTGTTTTTTTGGCTATGGTGTTCCTGTCAATACATAATGTTTTCTTTCTCCATATCTCCTCCCAGTTCTCCCTGCAATCCTAAGTTTATGGCTTATAGTATGCAATCCATGTATTAAAATATTTTCAGTGAGATCATTCATTACTCACTTGCTTTCTTCTTGTCCAGTATAGGTTCCAGAGAAGTGAGAAGCTATAATTTCTCCAGGTCTAAAATCCAAGTCTTTGATAGGCAGGCATGACGCCTGAGGCCACTACATGTTGCTACTGGTTGTCAGCTTTGTAAAACTTACCCTGCAGAGCAAAGAAATCTGGGCACAAAGATTGTTCTCTTCTCTACCGTGGCAAGCTGTAGTTTTCCAGTCTGTTCTGCCTTCCCT